TTACTTCTGGCAGGCGCATGTGTTTTCCTTTGGCTGGCCGGGCGAGTGGCGTTTCCAGCCGCACGGATAACTGGCGACCCTGCCGAGTTCCTTCTCTGAGGCCTGTCAAACTCTTGCCTGACACAGGTAAACTGGACATGACTATATAAACACACCAGGTCTTTCAGTGCCACCTCCAAGTTGTCATACCCTGCCAGAAAGTCTCCCTAGCATGTCAGTGAATGGTTAAAGCTTTCTGGGCCCAGCTCTGTACTTCACCACAAGATAAGATTTCTGCAGGCAGAATTTTGTCTCTTCAAGGTTTATGTTTTGCTTACAACTTCAGCTCCAAAGGCTTCAGGTCAGATCCCATTGCCATATATTTCCTCTTGCCATTCAGGGCTGGACAGTCCCCCTTTCTGAAAACCTGAGCCTTTTACTCTCCAGTTGTGTTTCTGCTCCTTTCCCTTCTCAGCCTGAAGTGTGTTGACACTGATCCATATACCGGCTCTCTCTTCCAGAATACTTTCGAATAAAATTGTAAAGAGGGATCCACGCTTTTTCATTCCACATCCCCTGGTATTTGTGAGGGGGAGAGTGACTTACATACTGCCAGAACACCCTTCCAGGCTTGCAGAGAACTGCCTCTGAGGAGCAGCCATGGGCTTTCCAAATTCTGCTGGAGCTGACTGACAAAGCATGGGAAAGTCAGAAATTTGCTCTGTAAATAGTCCTGTAGTACGTAGCTGTTGTGCTTCTTCTAATGTCTATCATGCTAAGCAACCTGTTTAAAATACATCTTTTTTTCCCTCTAGGCTGACACTCTCTTAATGTAGCCATGACCACAGTTTTTGCTTGCTCTGTGCTTTAGTAGACTCTCAATGCATATTTGTTGAATTTAAATCCAGCTTTATTTAAACTCATCAGACTTAACTTGACCTTTTAACACAGACTAATTAATTGATGGCCCTTCTCTTTAACATTTCTATTTTAGGGTACTATTTGTGTCTTTCAAGCCTGAAACTTCTAAAAATAGGAGACTGAAGAGTTCCATCCATAGCCAGTGGTTGAAGTGTCTTAATTCTAAGGTAAAAAATGTACATCGCCTCATCTGAAGCCCAAATTGAGACTTGGGTTTGGCTTTTCAGGATACATTTGCCTTGTAAAAGATCACCTAGGATAATGAAGAAAAGCTTCCATCTGACCTTACTGAAAAGAAAATCTCTGGGCTTAATGAAACACAAGATGTCTCCCTTGCACGAGATATCATGCAGCTGGATAGAATTCTCTGTGGCTTTTTGGTTGTTTTTTTTAAAAGACAATTTCAGCCCTTACCCGTGTATGTATGTATGTATGTATGTATGTATATATATATATATATATATATATATATATATATATATATATATATTTTAATTGATTTCAGAGAGAGAAAGGGAAAAGAGAGAGATAAAAACAGCAATGATAAGAGAGAATCATTGATCGCTGTCTCCTGCATGCCCCCTACTGGGGATTGAGCCCACAACCTGGGCATGTGCCCTTGACTGGAATCGAACCTGTCCTTCAGTCTGCAGACCGATGCTCTATCCATTGAGCAAAACCAGTTAGGGCATGTGGTGTTTTTTTGTTTGTTTGTTTTTAATAATAATAAAAAAAATGCCCTAGTCTTCTTCAAATCTCTGCAGCACTGGTAGCTGCCAATTTATTCAGAATCTGTAGGCATGTGGTAAAACTCTGGTTTGATTGCCTTAGGTTGGAGAGAAGCAGCCCCGGACATTGCTCTGCTGGCTTGGTTTCTCTATTGGCCTATCCACTTTGTAAGGCCAATGACCTTGAAAATTACATTCGAGTTTCCCATGCTCACATTACCTTAGCTAATCAGTTTCTTGGCTACTTGGAATTTACATGGAATATTTATTAAGTTTAATCATACCAATAGGCCCAGGATCCATGAACTTTAAATACGTTTATAGTTGATGGTCTAAGTACTTTCCTGAGGGGAAAAGAAAGAGTTAAAAAGCTATCTTCTAGGAGTTTCCAGATTACAAAATACAGGTCTTGTCAGCAGTCCATGATATTCATTGAATAGAGCTCTGCCTGGCCTTGCATGAGATAAAAAACCTTAGGGGAAAGAGTTAGTCCTTGGTTACTAAAAAGTTATGTGACTTTACACCTTTCTTTTGTTTGTTTTTGTCAAGATGAAGCATCAGCAGAGTAATTTTGGAGTTGATCAGATTTCTGATCCTATAGAAATTTTAGGTGTGCATTTGTACATATGATGGCAATGCTTTGTTAGTAAGAGATTCCTGACTATACCACTTGCTACTGAAAGTTTCTTCATGGGTAAGTGGACTGCTTGGGCAGGCAAATACTTATTTGAACCAGTTTGTTTATTCACAATAAGAGAATGGTTTACTTTCTGAATATTTTTTATCTGTGGGCAACTTTCAAACACTTAAGATAACCTGTGAATATGTTTAATGTAACACTTTTCAAATTAAAGAATAAAAAAAATCTGAGAAGTTATTAATGGTGATGAAGCCCAAGTGAAGGTTTTAAAATAAGTAAATGAGGCATAAAATTATAAAATTGTACAAGTATTTTATAAGCAGACATTACCTAAATACCATCCACCTACATATACTCCTTACAGGAGCTCCAGACTCTTGAGCAGGACTAGGAGAAGCTTTTTACTATAGAAACACAACAGGAGTCTCAGCCTGAGAAGCAGAAAGGTATCACTTGGCAGGATATCATATTCTGCATTTTTCTTTCATTGGACAGTGTGTAATTCTTCTTATGTTATTACTCATAACTAGATCATGTAGCATGTGAGCAGGGATGACATGTAGTATCCCTTTTAAGGCAAAAAGTGAAATATAGTATCTCATGTAACAAATACTAGAGCCAGGGATTTGAATTCTATCCATCTGTCCCAACTCCACCTTTATCTCTTCTCTCTCTTTCTTTCCCTGTACGCCAGCCCCATTCTCTGGGCTGACTCTAAACATGGTTGCTGCAGCTCCCAGGCTCACATCTCAGCTTTGAACAAGAATATAATAGAATATAATAGAATCAAATACTAATTTTTGTGTATACAGTAAAAACACAACACCACACCCAATCATCCCCTAATAGTGGTTGCATCTTGAAAGGCTTTAATTCATAGATGAAATGTCAATATGAAAATTTGGAGTATATTAAAATATATACAAAAGAGATTTTTTAGTTAATAGAGTCAAAGAAAACATGAATTTCAGAAATAATATAGTAATGAGACAAATAAAAATCTCATATACTTCAGGTGGAAATATACAGTTATGCAACCACTTTGGATAACAGGTTTCCTATAAAATTAAACATACATCTATTATAAAATCCAACTTTTCCATCCTAGGTATTTATCTAAGAGAAATAAAAACATGAACTCAAAGAAATATGTGTATACCACTCACCGAAGTTTTATATGTAATAACTCAAAACCAGCCTAAATGTCCATCACCAGGTGAATGAATAAACAAATTGTGGTATATTCATATAAGGGAATACTATTAAGCAATAAAAAGGAATGAAGTATTGATTCACACTACAATGTGGGTGACTCTCAAAATAATTATATTGAGTCAAGGAAGTCGAGCAGAAAAGTATGATTCTACTTATTAGAAAGTATAGAAGGCAAATTAATCTATAGTGACAGAAAGTAGATAAATGCTTCCCAGGAAGAAATGGGGTAGAGAGTAGGAAGGAGAGATTATAAAGACCTGTACATTGGAAACTACAACATATTGTGAAGAGAAAGTTAAAAAGACAAATAAAATGGAGATATATACCATTTTCATGGATTAGAAGACTCAATATTAAGATGCTAATTCTTCTCTAATTAATCTACAGATTCAATGAAAAATCAGTTCAAATAGCTTTATTTTTGTAGAAACTGAACAGCTAATTTTAAAATTTATATGAAAAGACAAAGGATCTACAATTGTCCCTGATAAAATTTGAAACAGGAAAATCAAGTTGTAGAACTTATACTACCTACTTTTAAGCCTGTAAGGCTACATTAATCCAGATAGAATGGTATTGTCAAAAAGATAGAAATATAGATCAATGGGATAGAACTGACAGTCCAGTAATAGACAAATACCTATTGGGTCAATGTTTTATGACAAATGTGTCAAGGTATTTCAATGGGGAAAGAGTATTTTTATCAACAAATGGTGCTGGAGCAATTAGATATTCACAATGAAAAAGATTAAACTTGACCCTTATTTTCATCATGTAGAAAAATTAACTCAAAATGGGTTGTAGACCTAAATGTAAGTGCTAAAACTATAGCCCTTCTGAAAGAACAATTGAGAAAAATCTTTGTAACCTTTAGCTAAAGATATCCTAGATTGAACACAAAAAAATATGCAAGTGATAAAAAATAATTGAAACAATGAAGCCCAACAAAATTTAAAAGGCTAGCTCATTTAAAAACAGTATTTATAAAATGAAAAGGCAAATGTTTCCCAAAAAATGTATCTGACCAAGAACCTATATAATATACATAAAAACATTTACAACTTAATAATGAAAATACAAACAACATAAAAAAAATAAGCCAAGTATTTTAGCAGACCTATCACCAAAGTATATATGAAGGCAACAAATAAACACAGAAAAAAGATGCTCAAGGTTATTATTCATTACGATAATGCAAATAAAACTACAATAAGATATGAATACATACATAATAGAATGGCAAAAATTAAAAAATCAACAACTGACCATACCAAATGTTGGCAAGGATATGGAACAATTATAGCTCATAAATATTGCTGGTTGAAATGCAAAATTGTACAATCGCTTCTGTATGTTTAACCATATAATTAACATGCATATACTTACCAGATACCCCACAAATTTTACTCTTTGCTTTTACTCAAGAGAAATAAAAACATAACCCACCCAAAGACTTGTACTCAAATGTTTATAGAAGATTTATTTATAATAGCCCCAAGCTGGAAACAACCCAAATTTCCATCAACTAAACGTATTTTTAATCAGCCAGAATGCTGAAAAGCAAACAAACAAGATCAGCCCTGATTGGAAAGCCTACAATACCATGTTTTTCTCTGAGTTTATAATCACAGCCAAATGTCTTAATTGTCAATTAAAAAGTTTTGATTTTTACTAAAATTTACAAGACTCTTCTAGGACCCATAAGTGCCACTCTTACACGGGGGTGGATAATGAGCTGCCATCACGGGTTTTACTCTTCTCAGTAATTGCCATACACATACCATAATGCTAAAAGCAGTTTTAAGAATGACCTCCAAGCAAATGCACTCTCCATTTAGTTTGTCACAACAACCAAGTTTTCCCATGTTTCTGCCTACATGTCTTTTCAAGTGGACACTCACTCCCTGGACTCTACAGAGAATCCCCAGCCTATTTGATAAGGTTTGAGTCACCAGTACCTCATGTCCTTATTTGTGCACCACAGCTCAGCAGCATTTTCTGAATCATCTTGTTGAGAAGCCAACTAGAAGAAAACATGAGAACCAGTTAGGAAGCAAACTTTGCCTTTGATGTGTGTTAGTATGAAAACCCAGTATCTGATAATAGGCAGATTTCCATCTTTACACACACACACACACACTGCTTTTAATACAAAATTGTCACTTGAGCAAAAAACTTTCATCTTTAGCTGATCCAAAGACGGAAAGCTGTTTGGCCTAGATTTAATAAAACCCTCATATAAAACTAGCAGAGTGCCAGAGATTCCATATAGAGTGTAACTTGAGCAGTTATCCTGATCCTTGAAGAGCTGTCCAGCTTTCCAGAAAGAGGCCAGTAAAAAGTGGGGAGGAGTGAGTCTAAATTAGGAATGCTAAAGGGTAAGCTTGTAAATAGGCCTTCAAATTTTACTTCAGATTTCAACTTTCACATATGCCCATTCAAGAAGGAGCTGTTCCGTGCCATAAAGAATTCTTGGGATATCCAGCACTGCTTTTTTCAAAAGAAGGTATATTTGGACTATAAGAGGATGGAAACTAGTAACACATGAAAAAGTGATAGAGCAATTCAACTTTGTTTGTATTAACTAAATCCAAAAGAAGCATAAATAATTAAAGTTCTTGAATAAATCCAAAATTTTTATTTCACAATTCATTCCAGTTTCCATGTAGTCATTTGTAAATGTTTTCTTTTTAAGTTCAAAAGTATCCAGCAGAAGCAAGAAAAATATTACTTTCTTAGAAAACATACACACTTGGAAATTTGCTTTTGAACAATTGAATAATGGATCCAGGTTCATAAAAGGGAAGCAAAAATGTCAACTAATCCACTTTGGGTTATTAGACCTAAATAGCAACACATAGCCCTTGCCCTTCTCTCTGTGCCCTACATTCATGCACTGTAGGGTCCCTAGCGGCTGCCAGCTGAGGGCCTGAGCCTCCTTCCATTCCTCAGGCTGGTCCCACCTCCTGGTCAAACTCTCCAGATGAACTCCCAGTGGAGGGGACATTTGCATACTACACTTTTATTATATAAGATTGCAGCTGTAATCTGTTTTGAAAAGTTTTTTTTTCTTCATTTAAATTGCTTTAAAATTCTATCTACAATCTTTTTGAAAGCCCTGACTGTATTTAACAAGCTCTTTCTCTTCACCCCATGAAACTTAACCCATGTATGTTCCTATCCAATGAATCATCAATTACAATTTAAGTCATTCTAAATTTTTCTGAAATGATAACCAACATGATTATGAAGAATTAGTCTTGGCCAAGATAACACAGACTCCAAAATGTACGGTCTCAGGCAAATCTGTGTTTTGTTTTATTTCCTAAAGTCATAGGGAGCATTCCCAGGAACCCGCTGAGCTTTCTCAATAAAGGGAGCAGTAATGAACCAAATCATCTTGTGTACCCTGGGTCCACATAAGTTTGGATTTGAGAGAATAATCTTTATGGATCTAATGTATCTCAAAGGTGTAACCTGGAGTTTTTGTTTATCTGTTTTATTTTGTTTTGTTTTAAACTGTATATGCACAGCACACAAACCTAAAAGAGTTATCATCTCCTTGTTATTTTTCTCTTAACATTAGGATGAAATGTCTGATGGTTTACATGAAGACGTGGATATTATGAAAGCTGTAGTACAGTTGTCTGCATGTTTCTTCAAACTACACTGCTTGACTAACACGTGGTGAGAAGCTACTTAACATATGATGAGATACTTTGAGATGGCCATATAGGTCTGTTATTTCCAAATAGTCTAGTAGAAGTGAAAGTGTGAAGTTTCAGAGTAGCCTAACTTACAGAAAGATTTTATTCTTGCCTTGCAGCTACTTGAGGAGAGTACAGTCTAACAGCTATCTTGCATCCATTTGACCTTCTGTGTTCAAAGAATTCTCCCATCCAATGTGTCTTTTGATAGAACTTGAGAGGAAGAGAGGGGGGATAAAAAGAAACTCTCTTCTTTCTTAGACATAATCTTGGGGCCAACTGAACCTGGAGCTTGCCATCTCATGGAATGTAAGAATGAAGCAACCACTTTAAAAATGTAAAATTGACGTATGTAGCACAATTAATGTTTATTGGCATATATCAAGTCCCTAGCTGGTTCTACCCTTACCTTTTTTTGTTAGGAGAACTAAAAAGTTAGATTTTATTCCCCGCTCTACTTTTGTTGTTGTTAAAACCAAATTTAGTTATGTTTTCCATCATTGCACAAGAAGTAGCTGATACAGATGGAGAATAACTGAATTGTCAAGACCCATTCCAAAATTGAAGTTCCCAATGTTCTGGGGATAATTACATTATAAATTGGGTGTGGTGTGTTTCACAACAAAATTGAAATCTGAAGAAACAAACAAACAAACAAAAAACAACACAGAACATCAATCAAATGTGAAGAGAAAATTTTTAAACCTACAGTGCTCCATCATTGGAACTATTTTGTAAGACAAATGGAGGGAGGGGAAGAGGGAAGAAGGTAGAGAGGAAAGGAGAGAGGGAAGGAAAGGAGAGAAAGAGAGGGGGGGGGGGGAGAAACTATGTAGAAGTGTTGGATGATGCTGACATTGCTGAGATATTGGTAGCCATTGGAGAGACGGCTTATAAAGCATAAACCTCCCTGCCTGAACAAAACATAGAGTATTGTCTTGAAGTCACTGGAATGGAGGGTATGGTGGATGTCTTCACTCATGTCTAACATGTTTTTCCTTTCTAGAATGTAAGGGCATACTCTAACAGTACAGTTTCTTAATAAGAGGTGCTAAATATCACTTTGGTTGATAGATTGCTTTTAACATTTGTAGGTGTAGTGAAATTTAAAACTACACAGAGAAAATCTGTAGAAGGTGGTGACCTCTCAGGGATGGTGTTGAAATCTGGTTCATGATTAAAGCAGGGTGTGGTTAAGAGGGGCAGGGATGGAAAATTCTCTTTTGGCAACTTGGTAGAGATGTGAGGTTAAACTGTCAAAACAGCCGCAAAAATCTGTTGCCAGAAGAGAATAATAAAAACTCTAACAGCAGCCTTAAACTGGGCCAGGCACTGTGTTCAGGGCTTTATGTGTGATCTCATTCAATTCTAAAAGCAATGTAGATTTCATGTTGCTCTGCACCTATTACAGATTAGGAGGTGAAAGCAAGGAGGTTAAGTCATTTGTCGCAAGTGTCACAGACAACCAGTGGTGAAGGCTAGGTTTGAAACCAGGGCTGTCAAATGCATTGCCTCATGCTCTTACTAAATCGGTTAGCTCATCACTGTTACCACTTCTTTAATCCGGAGCTCATTCATAAACACCTCTCTGCTCCCCACATGAACAGAACCTCATTCTTTTTTCTCTCCTCTCCTTGGCCCTCTCCCCCTCCACCACTCCCACCCACCCTCATGACTCTCAGGCCAAAATCCTTTGTTTGAAAGTTAACATGAAATATTGACTCAAAACAATATAAATTTTATTTTTTGAAATTTCCTTCTTCTCTGAACCTTAATTAGGATGATCAAAGCAATACAAAAAGTTTTTTTTTCCACCCGCCTTTGTATTAAAGAAGAAAACTCCAATACCATCTAATTTTTTTAAAATATATTTTATTGATTTTTTTACAGAGAAGAAGGGAAAGGGATAGAGAGTTAGAAACATTCATGAGAGAAACATCGATCAGCTGCCTCCTGCACACTCCCTACTGGGGATGTGCCCGCAACCAAGGTACATGCCCTTGAATGTAATCAAACCTGGGACCCTTCAGTCTGCAGGCCAACTCTCTATCCACTGAGCCAAACCAGTTAGGGCACATCTAATTTTTTAAAGCATAAAATCTTAATGTCTTTCCTAACTCTGTCAAGAAAAATTTTTCAGCAGTGAATATTTCCAAAACTTTCAAAACTTAAAAGAACATAAAAAGAAGATGTGGCCTGGCTTAGCATGCATCTTTAAATGTGTTTGGAAATCACTGGTCTGTTGCTGAAAGTCTCCTGATACTATAACTGTTTAAGAGTGGTAACTTTCTAGAAGCAAGTCACCCTCCTAGCTGCTATGGGATGGGTTAAGTGCTGCTTGACCCCGGCTGAAGAATGACAAATGCATGTGTTCATGAGTGTCTTACACAGATACTTAGGGATCTATTTTTACCTTTAACAGGAATACATTCTTAGTGTAGGCAAATAATGATTAATACTGACTTATCAAGAGAGAAGTGAGCTTCTTGGCCAATTGGAATAAATTTCATTACAATATTTTTCTGTTATTTGTTAATTTTTTAAAGCATTTTTAAATACTAGTTTTGAGGACATAAAAGGTTACCATTTCTCATAATTAAAAATTAATATCTAGCCCCGTCAGCACGGCTCAATGGTTGAGCATCGACCTATGTTGGTGCTCATGCCTGGGTTGCGGGCTTGATCCCCAGTGTAGGGCGTACAAGAGGCAGCTGATCAATAATTCTCTCTCATCGATTTTCTTATCTCTTGCTCCCTCTCCCTTTCTCTCTTAAATCAATAAAAATATTTAAAAATATCTCTTTCAAACATATTAAGCTTGAAAGAGATATAAACTTACTGTGCCAGCTACTTAGTTATCACACCCAAGTCACTTATTTTCCCATTCATACATCGTCTCATTTTAGGCCAAGAAGTAAGTATTTTATCAAAACTAGAATATGTTTTGAACATAAAACTTTTGGAAAGATAGCTTTCTCAAATATCCCAGAAGGAAAGTAAGTGCTGGCTTTTAAAAACCTGAACATGATGGTGGTTAAAAGGAACTTTGAGGAAGGGTAGCTCTGATATTGGAAACCATTGAACTTTTATTCTGGCCAGTGTGAAGAGAGAAGAGAGACCCCAGTTTAGGATCCTTAGGACAAGTAGATGTCTGAAGAGAGACCATCTCTCTAGTGGTTTTCCACCAGGTGGAGAGCATGTAGCCTGCCTCTGAGAACAATGACCAAAAAACATGCCTTCTCCCAACTGGCCACAGCTGTTACATTGGTAAGCTTTGTCATTCAACTGTGGTAACATTATGTAAAGCAATAACTAC